AAAAAAAAAAAAAACCTCATCTCTCAAAGAAGAGACCTCAGGGATGAGGCAGAGAAGCAGCCTGTATCATGATCTGGCCCGTGCAGAGGTTTCCCAAGCTCCTCCTGGTCACCCCAAGGGCTCTGGGCGGGTGGAGACTTGCTTCAGTCCCATCAATCTCCATGGAGGTGCACACAGGGGACAAGGTGCTGGGAACTCACAGGCTGTGGTGTTCTAGCATTCGTCTGCAAGAGCACCGTGTCCACCATTAGACTAGCACTTGCTTTTCAGAGCATTGCAACCATTCTTCAATTCTCACGGGATAGAGGTTTGTACTACTTTGAAATCCCAATCTCACAGCCTCCCTCGAACTGGTGTCACCCTGGCCCTTCCTGGTGGTGCCACCATTAGTACCAGGGGAAGGCCCTGCTAGTCTATGGCTAGAGAGTCGTGGATAAACTTCGCAGGTGTACTGTACACTAGAGGAATTAAAAAGGGTCTGACAGTCACAATGGAAATATGTCTGCTTTTCACAAAAGAGCATGTTGAGTTTAGATCTTCTGCTATCTAAAATACGAAAACCAACAAGAAGTACAGACACAAGAACACAAAACGAAAAGCCGTTTCATAAAATCAGTTATGAAACTAACATTCATTCTAATTTAATAACTAGCTTTAATGATTGGGAACCCAAAACAGCACCTGAAATGACTTTTGAAATGTAAGAGACATTCACTAGCCTCACCGTAACAACTTATGTGTCTCTAACTTCTCCAAAACAGCAGAGTGTCAATAGGCAAGTCTAGGAAAACAAGAGCATTTGTATTGGAATGCAGGCTTCACTGCCAGAAAAAAAAAAATCAATCAATCAATCAATCCAAGGTTTACCTCTAGCTGAGCTGGGATGATCCTTAGCTCCCTAAATTTCACTGTGTCAGAACTAAAATTCTACCACTTATTATGTGAAAGACAAAGTTAAAATGAACATCATCCAATAGTCACCATGTTCACCTAGAGAATAACTGGCCACTGTCTAATTTTATACCAAAAAACACCAAGATACTGGCCTGAACACAGCACCAAAAAGCAAGCACTTTCTCGGGAAAAATGCAGGCTTCACTGCACATCAGATGGCCCTGCCACCAGCATTGCATGGGGTCCCACTCAGCTTGACTTCCCACAGCCATGCTCCACTGCTCCAGGGAGCTCTTAGCATTGGACTTACTGTTCCTAGGCCAAGTTCAAAAAACATGAGCCTGAGAACCTGAAGACAACGATCTCAAGATGGGCCTTGCTATTAGTGGACCAGCTTATCAGTCTAGAGCCAGGTAGGCCCTAAGTCAGAGCACCTGAGCCTGGATCTCAGCTAGGCCACTTAGGCTTTGTGTGACCCTGGGCATACTAGGTAACTACTTGCCACTTAGTGTCCCCTTCTCAACAGTGGGAGTGTAAGAATACTCTCCACCTCACTGAGTCAGCCAAAGTAATATTATATATAAAGTGCTTGCAGCAGTTCCTGGCACCTAATGTATTTCAAGTACTTACTATTATTACTACACCTACTACCCCCCTTTTGTAGCAACAGCAATTTCTATCCCTGCTACTGTCAAGCGCTCACAGGACCACCCATGTCCCTAAGGCAGCACTAAGATACCACAGAGGCCACAAGCCACCCAGCTGGATTTTCGGCATCCCTCTCAGCAAGCCGGCTGCCTGGCACCCCTGGGCAGAACACTGTCTTACTGGAGGACCTCAATGGAGGCCCTTCAAGGTAATGGAGCTCACAGCCCTCCCGACTTTCTGCCTTTGATTTTCCACTGAACGTCCACTTCAACGCTCTCTGCAATGCCAGGCACCAAGACTCTACCTTCCCCCCACCAATCCACTCTAACAACCAAGGACAAGACACCAGAATAGGTGATGCATGAATTCCCTGGGATTCCCCGTGGAGTCAGACCTCCTCCATAGAGGGAGCTTTGGCTCAAAGCACTTGGCCTGCATGGAAGGGGCAGCTCGTGGGCACTCGGCCAGCTCCAGCCTCTGGGACACCACAGCCAGCCCAGGTGCAGGGCTCTCAGATATGTTTCCTTGGGAGGAGAGAGGTGACAGTGCCTTCCCAGGAAAGCACTTATCGGATTTGGCACAGCTAAGTTAACAATCATTTGTTGAGCACCTGTCAAATGTCTTACATTATTCTGGGCTCCAATCCAAGTTCACTTTCTGCAAATCACAGGGCACATATTCCCTAAGGTTGTAGGATCCTTGTTCGATCAAGAATGATCATTAGCATTTATAACATTTACTGAGCATCAACATTATCCTGCAGGGTATAAAAATGCCTTTTCTTTTCAGTGCTATCCTTCTACAACATTATATTTTAATTGCTTAAAAGAAAAACAGTAATGCCCTTGAGATTCAGTCACCTAAGTATTTACCCAGATAAATACAATTGCTAAGCTACATCCTGCTTCCTAGACAGGCTTTATCCTCAGACCTCAAAATACATTCAAACCCCTCGGGTCCCCATCTATTTCAATACTGATCAATGGCTGGCAGGTTTACTCCATGTATAATGAAAAACAATTCACCGTACGTAAAAGCGTTTACCTCAATTAATGTGACAATCCCCAAAATTAAATAGGACTTCCAGTAACACTTTATGATTGCTTTTGTTAAAGAAGGCTTCTGTGCATTATTCTTGGCTCTTAAAACTTCTTTATCCCAGAACCTACAATAAGTAAAAAGCTTGGTAAGTCAGAATGTACCCTGCCACAGGGTAAAACGGGGAGGCGACAGATAAGCATTGAAGATAGCGCTGTCTCAGAAATGCTGGCTAATTGTTCACAGGGCTCCTGAGATACTATGTGGTACAGAATCTGTAGCAGCAGAAAAACAGGCCTCGAGGGGAAGTCTGCAGTCTCAGGAAACAAGAGACTGCCAAGCTGGCTCGATTCACCGTACCATTACTAGAACAGCCAGGCCAGACAACCTCCTCAGTGACCCCACCTCCCGGACAGACCTCAGGCATCCAGGGCTTTGGCACCAGCTCTGCTTCTACCAGGGCACAGGAAACACAGGTTTCCTCCCAGCCATGAAGGTATGCTAAACCCGGAACAGCCTGAGAGGAGTTAATGTGCGGTGGAATGTTAATAAGGAAGATAGGCTTCAGAAGGGCCCGATGGAAGGCAAGGGGCTCAGGAAGGCAAAACCCATTCCAGACACAGTGAGGAATCTCACTCTTCCTTACCCTTCTCTTCACTGCCTCTTGCTTACCCTTGCAGCTCCTCCCCAAGGTGCTTAGAGCGATCTTCAGGGAGCACTGAGTACATATCATCTTCTTCTAATCTCCGTTTATGACCAATTTTAAACAAGGGATTGAGCCACCTGTTAAAAATTAAGAGAAAAGGAGCGTGACATACATCTGAAATTACACATTTGCATTTAAGTAGAATCCTACCTCCATGGGTATTGTAAAAATCTACATTTTTTTTTATTGATAAATATAGGATGTACATATCAAAACCTTTTTTGGTTTTTTGCCTTTTTTAAAGAGACAGGGTCACACTCTGTTGCCCAGGCTGGGGTGCACTGGCACAATCTCCTGGGCTCAAGGGATCCTCCCACCTCAGCCTCCTGAATAGCTGGGACTAGAGGCATGCACCACGATGACCAGCTAATATGTTGCCCAGGCTGGTCTTGAACTCCTGGGCTCAAGCAATCCTCCTGCCTTAGCCTCCCAAAGTGCTGGGATTACAAGCATGAGCCACGGTGCTCAGCCTAAACCTACATTTTAATATATAGAGCTACAGAAAAAAATTAAATATGTGTTTACACCCACCCACACACACACACACACACACACACACACACATACTCTCTCTCCCCCCAGCTCTAGCCGCTGAGAGGCCCTGGAAACAATGACACACCAGTAGCTGAGAGCACTCCAGTGAAAAGGAACCAGGGTTCCTTGAAGAAAGAGCCGATTCCAAGACTGGGGCAGAGAAAGTACAAGACGGACCATGAACATCTTCTTGCACCATAAAATAAGGAAACATTCAAGGAATCATGAGGACGGGTCCAAAGAACAGAGGAGGCGGCATGAAGAGGTCTCACTAGACAAATTTGGGATAATTTAAACCTCCAAATAAATAATGATAGCAATGAATCATAATCCATTGAATAAGAAAAGAATCCATGAATCCTTACTGAGACATAAATGTGGGGGAGAAGGGGAAGCTCTCAGAGAAGGAACAAGGGGTTAGAAATTTTTCAATGGAAGCTAAAACTAGTGAGTGAAAGTTTGATGAGATATTTACATAATCTCAAATTATCTATCTACAAAGCATTAATTATGCAAGAAAAAAACAGTAACTTTGCAGAGAACAAAAAAACTTTATTCAAATATTTCGGGACTCTTCTTACTGAAAAAAGTAAAAATGGCCATTACGCACTATGAATCATTTAAATGATAATTATTAATGTGCAGAGATAGCCCAAAGGTAAACACTGTGTTACTGATTTTGCCAGAGTGAGGAATTTCCAAAGCCAGACAACAAGCCCTGAAAGCTGAGACCGTGCTCCTCTTATTCACCCCTTTATCCCTCACGCAGTGTGGGCAGAAAGGAGGTGCTCAGGGAATGTTTGCTGAACAAATAAATACCTGCAAATCATTAGGGAAGCAATAATAGAAACTGAGCTTCAGATTTTGCTAACCCTGTTAGCTTGGTATCTCTAAAGATACCAGAAGTTAGAAGATTGGATTCAACTCCCATCAATGGCACTGAGGAACCCAGGGTCCCCACACCCTCTGTCATTCCCCCTTCCATTTCCACAATCTCAACACCTCCATGACTTTTGCCAGTCACTAAAAATCTCTAGGTCTCAACGTCCTTCAAAAAAAAAAAAAAAAGTATAAATCTGTGAGCTTTACCACCAGACTTGAAAACCTGTGGGCCATTTATTCTACAGTTATTCTAAGCTCAAGTTCTTAGCACTGGAACTTGCATACAGGACATTGCCCTGAAAAGCCCTCTTTGAAGGTGCCTCACCCAGAAACCCTCCAGTGTTAGAGTCTGGACTTGGCCACTCTCTGGTTGTGTGACCTTGAAGTAGACATAAAATTTCTCCAGGTGTGGGGCCGTGGGCAAATGGAGACAATGCCTGAGGTAACACCTCCCAAGGGTATTGAAAAGATCAACTCAGGTTGCTCTGAACCCTACAAAGTTCCCACAGCCATTGTCATGACATAGCTCTTAAGTAATCATATTTGGGCCCCAGTAGAAAAGATCTAATAACTTTGATATATGAAATTACTCGATTAAGCAAATTCCTTTCATTTTGGCTGCCTGGCCACATGTCATCTTTGACTGGCATGTTTTCTATGGAGACTATCCCTTTCCACCGGGAACCCACTGCTTGGTGGTTTCCACCCACAGTTAAACGGTGGCTTTCAGGTGCTTCAAGGTACAGGTTGTATGGACACCTTCCAGCCAGCTTTCACCTCAGAACTCAGGGGCTCCAAGAACTGCTCTGAAGGAAGGATGGTTTGACCCAAGAGCTTCTTCAACAGTGGAGCACATGCTTCAGGGGTATCCAAGTTAAGTTCAGAATCCCAGAAAACTCCCCCTGCCCAATCCAAATGAGTAACTCTGACTCACCCAGTGGGAAGAAGAACCTCACCCCTTTCTCCACACCTCCTCCAAGAAGTTTCCAGAAGACTGTAAACCAACCAGCCCAAGTTCAATGTAGGTGGGTTTCCCAGACTTCTGAGAGACACCTGAGACGTGTTCCTTCCAGTGGAAAATCATACAGTATTTCCCAGCACGTACTTCCAAATGGAATTCGTTGGTGTCTTTTCAGACTAAAGAGATTCTTCAACCAGGGAGTAAAACTGGCTTGAGGAAATTAAAAAGTTAAGGAAGGTGAGAACGATAACTCTATTCTATAGGCTGAACAGTTAACTGCATTATAGTTAAGGAATATTACAAGGAGGGATACTGCTATTGAATAAAAGTATCTGAAATCAGGGACAGGCACAGTGACTCACGCCTATAATCCCAGCACTTTGGGAGGCCAAAGCAGGAGGATAGCTTGTGGCCAGGAATTCAAGACCAGCCTGGGCAACATAGTGAGACCCCCATCTCTACAAAAAAAATTTTAAAACAAACAAACAAACAAAAAAAATAGCCAGACGTGGTGATACACGCCTGTAGTCTTAGCTACATGAGAGGCTGAGGCAGGAGGATTGCTTGAGCCCAGGAGTTCAAGGCTGCAGTGAGCTATAATCAGGCCACGTTACTCCAGCCTGTATGCCAGAGCAAGACCCTGTCTCTAAAAAAAATAAATAAATACAAAAGTCTTAAAAAAAATAAAGCATCTGAAATCAGAATAGACTCAAAGCTTCTATTAGAGGAAGCCACAAATTATCCAGCCTTTGACTTAAGGACCCTCCCAGTCCCTTGTACTGCCCAATTCTCAAAAAGCCAGGCTGAGACATATGGGACCAGCAAGGGCTAAAGGTGTTCATTTCCATCTGATGGCAAAACTCTTTTTTGACCGGAGACTAAATTATCTTCAGTCATCATGGAAACCTAAGCCAATTGGCCCCTCCATTCCAATTCATCCCTAAGGCAGTTCAGTCAACAATTCCAGACCACTGCCAAATGTGCCCTTCCTCCACCCAGTTCTCTCCATGGAGTCAGTCTCTTCTTCCCCTCTCCTTCCACGGTACTTAGTACAGCAGCATTGCTTCTCTAACTGTCCCACCAGGACTGTAACTCCTGTAGGGCAATGACTACTCACATAGTACTTGGGATCCCCATTATGCCTGCTATGGGATACTCAATGAACAGTTACAAATGAATGAATGAATGAATGCATTACTCAATAAGACATGGCTACAATATCTTGAACAACGATCTAGGGTACAATTCAATACAAACTCAATATAACCCAGTCATGATGCTCAGTGCCAAACACTCAAGGGATACAGCGATGGCTGGAGGAGGCACTCTCTACCCCACGATCACAACGCACAGCATCACTCCTAGCAGGTGGGAGGGGCTCTCTCAGACAAGAGTTATTGGAGAGTTGTGATGTTTTGTTTATTGTTGTTGTTGGCTTTCACCCCTCCCCAAGAACTTGGAAAGTTCTGAATAGTTGTTTCTCAATGTAGTATAATGATAAAAAACACCAGGTTAAGGAGTCCAGTGTCCTGGAATACAGTCCTAGCTCCCCCTCCTCATCCTGACTGAAGTTCTCAATTTCAATGAGCTTCACACTTCCCACCTATACCAGGAGAGGAAGAAACAAAAGTTAACCCATTTTGGGGTTGATAAATCCTCTCCCTTTCTCTTTCCCTCTCTCCTTCTTCCCCGTTAGGTCTCTCTTTCAGCACCCTCAGTCTCCTTAACACCTGGAAGGGCCTCTAGGGTTTTGTTTTCCTTCTCCTTCCTGACTTTTTTGTAACAAGTGGCCAAGATGGAACTAAAATATGATTTAATTACTTGATATTCACTGAATCAAGATTGTCCTTGTTCTCTTTTTAATGCACAAGTTCAATATTTTCATATCCTTCAGAAGCCAAGCCTAGTAAAACCATTTTAAGTGGTTATTCATTTACATGACCCTAAAATTACTGTCTATTAAAGAAAAAAAGTTCCCCCATCTTTAATCAAAATAAGCAGCACCTAAAAGAACAGATTTAGGAGAGATGATCATCTCTGCTCTACAATCACTGAATTCAACCCTGGAAACACGGGATCCACGAGAAATGAGAAAGCAGGTCTGTGCTCAGACTCCCAAAGGTGACGGTCAAACCCATGAGCTTAGGTAAGAGTTCAGATGACAGAGATGGAAACCTTCTGCTGCCACCCACTGAGAGTTTTCTCATGTTTCCTGACATTACAGTCATCCCCCCTCATCCACAGTTTTGCTTTCTGCGATTTCAGTTATCCACGGCTGACTGAAAACATTAAATGGAAAATTCCAGAAATAAACAATTCCTAAGCTTTAAATTATGTGCCATTCTAAATAGCATGTTGCAATCTCCCGCCGTCCCACCCAGGATGGAAATCCTCCCTTTGTCCAGCGTCTCCACGGTCTGCAGTCCCCACCCATTAGTCACTTAGCAGCTCTCTCCACTAACAGGTTGACTGTCACGGTACTGCAGCACTCGTGTTCAAGTAACCCTCCTTTGACTTAAAAATGCCCACAAAGTGCAAGAGCGGTGATGCTGGCCATTCAGCTATGCCAAAGAAGCCATAAAGGGCAGCCTTTAACTGAAAAGGTGAAAGTTTGACTTGTAAGTTGAAAGAAAAGAAAAAAAAAATTTAAATCATATGCTAAGGTTGCTAAGATCTAGAGTAAGAATGAATCTTCTATCA